AATAATAATATTATTATATATATATATATATATATATATATATATATATATATATATATTAAAATACATGAAGTTAATGATACAATTGCATTTAGAAATAATGTTATATGTTGCTATAAGAAATATGTTATTATAGGTAATAAATTGTAGCTTCCATGATATTATGGAATAAATAAGAAATTTTCTAAATTTGTTGACGGGATTGTATGCATCGCGATAAACATGTATACCATAAATGAAACATATCAGCGATATAATGCCATCCGGGTACATTAATGTTAGGGGATTGTGTATGTACGATATGTTGATTATAGATACCGGCCTTTTGCGCGATACGTCGAAGACTATAATTGAGATTTTATCGATGCGCTAAACGGCGCCAACTTTTGGCGCAACACGTGCCAAAGTTTGTACGGTGCAGCGGGAGAACCCCCAATGGCTTTCTAATCGAACGACGATCCAACGATGTATCTAACAATTGCGATCGCAAATTATGTCTTAATATTCGCGGGTGTTTTATCTCTGATCAATGTTTATATTGCAGACAAGACGACCACATTCATCTCTGCATCAAGAAACGCGATGACTGCCAGAAATTTTTGGAGACAACGGCATTTAATTGGTAAGTTGCATTGTATCTAACGTATATTGTTTTAGTTTATATAAAATTATGAATTTAACATTGTATAATAGGAATCTTTGAAAGTCCCTACTTGAATACCAGTTAAGCAGATTTGTCCGATAGTAGATCTTCTAATTTTTCATGTTACCGAATTATACCAAATATATTCAATATTTTTGATTTATAAACACTTGTTATACCTTTTTATTCAACAATTTATTGTATATTATGTTTTTTTTGAGTATTAATCTAATTAAAAAAAAAATTTTTCTTGAGAAAATTATATCGGAAATCATTGTCTATTACAAGTTTATAATTTCCAAGATAATTTAATATTTATATGCCCGTTGGAATATAATTCACTTGAATTTAAAAAATATATTTTAATATTAAATAAAGTTCTTTGTATTCAATGGAATTTCAAATGATATACACACATAATGAAATTTTATATAATTTTAAATATAATATCTGATACTCTCGTATTTCATTGATTTCTGAAATTTTTTATATGTTGGAATTTTTAAGTATGACTTCTCTCGAGCAATTTTTAATGAATTTTGGTTTTTTCATACTGTCAATATGCAAGTAAGCGTAATGTGTGAGACCAGACTCAGATAGTGAATAATTTTGCATAAAAAGTTAGTATTGAAATAGCAGATTAAATATTGGTCTTTGATGGGAAATTCTTGCAAACTTTTCCGGAAACTCGAGAAAAAGTGCGATTAGCGACGAAACTGAGATTAATTTCCACTAACGCGTTCGATGAAAATCCTGTCGATAGTTGCGGGATTTCTCGTGCTGCGGAAATGGCAGTGCATCTTCATCTCGCCATTGCACGGTACGCATTAGCAAATTTTTCGACGATGCGGCGGCGCGATAAATCATAGTCGGGAGTCCAGATGAGAGACGACGGATGAAAAATGATGTTCCGGCAAACGAACGCGTTGCCGTGGTCAGACCAACCTTGGAATCGTACTTCGGCTAAGAACTTATTTGCACAAAAGTGAGCAGAGTGCTGCTTTCAATCGTTATATGAATCTATTTTCATGTTCTGATGTATGTCTTGGATTTTATCTAAAAGGAAATAATTTATTATTTTATGAGAGAGGGAAAAGAGAGAGAGAGAGAGAGAGAGAGAGAGAGAGAGAGAGAGAGAGAGAGAGAGAGAGAGAGAGAAGT